GCTGCTCTTTCAGAGTGCCACGAGAGTCCCCTTAGAACGGTATCCTAAAATCCATGTTATGGTAAGTGTGCACGTGAAGGCTTTGTGCACTTTCTAAAATCCACATTGTGGTAAGTTCGCACGCTAGTTCTTTGCGTTCTTTTCTAAAATCCTGTATGGTGAGGGCTTCGCGCGGTTGCTTCGTGCCCTTTCTTGAGCTGGTTTAAGTCCCGTTCACCTTGGGCACCACTCCACTTAGGTATCCTAGGATACCTACTTTAACAGGGTGTGGCCACTAGAGGTCTGTTGAGACAGTTCCTTTCAGAGCTTATGCAAGAGCAAGCGGTAGCCCCTGTGTGACAGGCCAAGACTTAGTGTGATTCTAGGCTCTTGGTCGTATCCCCTTAAAGGAATCCATTTTGATTCCAAGTCTTGAGCTCTACCCCGCGCCCAGGAGTTCTGGTCCTAACAGGTAAGTTTGGGTATGTAGCCTAGGCCTTTGGCCGTAGGGGATAAAGTCACGGACAGCCGTCTGACGTCCCAGGGGCAACTCACCATGAAAATGGTAAAGTTGGTACTTAGTGCTCGCCATGGTTCTGGCCCGCATTCCCCTCAGCATGGCGGCGTGGGTATACCGTTCCCCATAGCGCGCCCTAGAGGACGCAGTTCAAAGTTCCCTTGAAAGGGAACGTCTCAGGTTACTTATGTAACCATGGTTCCCTGAGTAGGGAACGAGACACTGCGTCCTCTAGGCTTCCTGCCATGCTTCGAACGCAAGCTTCAAACGAAGAAGTGAATGACATGTTCTTCCGGCGCCTATTTATCCTAATAATCGCACCAGTAGTGATGTCATGGGCTGTCGCCGGCCAACGTGTTGTTGGTGTTTTTTCAATGTATGCTTCAGACACGGGTCACGACGAGGCATTCCCCATAGCGCCCCCTAGAGGACGCAGTTCGAAGTTCCTTACTCAGGGAACCATGGTTACATAAGTAACCTGAGACGTTATTCACTCGTCTGATGTACTCAAGATTATTTCTAAAATACTGATATCCTGTCATATGTTTCATATTTACATATTTTTTTTATATTGCTTAGGTAGATGTTAATGAGAAACAGTTTAACTAACAAATATCATTTTCAAAAGTGATTGATTGAATTGAAAAATTGGAGTTAATTAGACATTTGGTAAAGTCAATATACCTACTCTTTTTTTCCCCAAAGAATTTCAACTTTTATACATTTCTGTTTTTTTTTTTAAAAATTTTGATATAAAGCCAGACAGGGCTTAGACTAGGCCAGGATTAGGCCATAGTTCAATTAGGACATTTAAGTCACTTTTATAAACGTGCTTAGAAAAAAACATTACTGGTGTGCTTTTTGAGACAAAACAAAGGCACTGATATATTTTAAGATCAGTCAGTGCAAGTTTCTTTCAGTTGAAACAGCTCAGACTTACATTTTAGTCTAGGACTAGGCTTAAGCCTTGTCTGTGAAACCGGGGGAATATAATTTGATTATATACTCTTTTTAAGATACCCACTTGTTTGCCCCAATACGGTCTTTGTCGCTTTAGTATTCAATGGTAATAACTGAACTACTACGCCATCTGTTGGTCAGTTGGAACATGTAATATACTACAAAATAGATAAATGATGCTATTTTCCATACTATAGCCCTAATAACTCTTTCTGAGCTGACAGACCTCAAAATTTCTCAATTTAGCACAAAAATAGGTTTTCTTGTGCCACTGCCAGGATTCCATCTATGCTTGATCAGAATATAAATAAATCAAAGTGTCAATGATGAAATCTCTCCCTATTTCCCCTCATTTATTCCATTTTGATTTTATCCTAGTTTCACTTGGTTTCTCTTGCCAGATGTTGACTAGTCTCATCATTCCGACCAGTTTAAGAAGAAAAGCAGTTCATTTTCATTATTTACTGAAGATCAGTTTTGGGTAATTGTACACAGATTGTTTGCTCTTTGGTAAATGTGACTCATTTGTAGACTGACATCAACATGTGTTCATTCATTTTTCCCAAAATAACACAATAAAAAAGTTATTAAGGCATATTAGCAGGTCGTTTCCTAACGCTGAGGGGGGGAAAAAGGGAAATGACAAAATCAACCTACCTCATGCTCCCCTACTAAGCCTAAATAAACTGCGAGGATCTCCCTACACTGCATATTTACGAGCTGGGCTCCCCAAATTAGCATGACGGTGAACTGTCATTTGTTTAGAACTGTCTGTCAACTGTTGCCATCAAACCATGTTTAGCGGCCTTGAAGTCAATGGTTTTCCTGTGTGTTCAAACTAGAAAATTTTAATTACAGACAATTCAGTTAAAGGCATTTCTGTTTCCTTTCACAATATTGTCCCAGAATAACAGCCTCTTACGCTGACGTGAAGCTGACACGAAGCTCAAGCTTGCTGTGTGAAATCATATTGCGATGGTAACTGATTTAAAATAAATGTAATAGTTATTTTCTTTTTGTGTTGTATTGTAGATAAATGGAGTGTAATCACTCATTTCCAAATGTTTCGATCTCTTATTGTAATACAACAAAACAACAATATGACATTCATAATCTGTTATTTTGCAACATGAATAAAATTAAAGTTGATTTGGCAAAACTAGGCTGGAAGTTTGTACAAAGGAGATAAAGTTCCACATAATCAAAATGGAGATCTTCCCAACTTTCCAGTGATTTTAAATACTTTGTTGTGTGTTTCCGACATCAATGTTTTCAAATAAAGTCTAGTTCTAAATGAAGCCCAGGCTTCACTGTGTCAATGATCTGCAGACTCTATGATCTAAGATGACTTGGGTAAAGGAAACCTAGACGTTATGGTTAATATTGCATCCATTAGTGAGTGTATCAGAGTGCATTGAGGATTCCACTTTCATTTAACTGCTCTGACAGTAACTGGTCCTTTAGGGAAACACCAAATATACTTCTGTAATGGCTTTAATGACCAGCAGATGTCAGCAGAGTTATTAAACAAAGATGGCAAGGATTCACTGTCAGCCCTAATAACTCTTTCTGAGCTGACAGACCTCAAAATTTCTCAATTTAGCACAAAAATAGGTTTTCTTGTGCCACTGCCAGGATTCCATTTATGCTTGATCGGAATATAAATAAATCAAAGTGTCAATGATGAAATCTCTCCCTATTTCCCCTCATTTATTCCATTTTGATTTTATCCTAGTTTCACTTGGTTTCTCTTGCCAGATGTTGACTAGTCTCATCATTCCGACCAGTTTAAGAAGAAAAGCAGTTCATTTTCATTATTTACTGAAGATCAGTTTTGGGTAATTGTACACAGATTGTTTGCTCTTTGGTAAATGTGACTCATTTGTAGACTGACATCAACATGTGTTCATTCATTTTTCCCAAAATAACACAATAAAAAAGTTATTAAGGCATATTAGCAGGTCGTTTCCTAACGCTGAGGGGGGGAAAAAGGGAAATGACAAAATCAACCTACCTCATGCTCCCCTACTAAGCCTAAATAAACTGCGAGGATCTCCCTACACTGCATATTTACGAGCTGGGCTCCCCAATGGCCAAGGCATTTCCCTGGAAACAGAAGGAGGGTATGGGAAATACCATTCAATAAGGCTGCAAAAGAAAAGTGGACGCCACACCAGCACTGCTTTTCATTGGTATGTGTTCACACACACACACACACACACACACACACACACACACACACACACACACACACACACACCAACTGCCAATGCTACACACTCTTTTGCTGAAGTACACACACTTGTATACACATAGAAACTCACAGCTGTAATGAAACCGCAAAGACGTCACAGACGGCTATTTTTATGTGCATGGACTGATGCAGACATTTTTAGGAGTGACACCTCACCTCCTAAATGTAATGGTGTGTGGTTCGACCACCAGGAGCACCACAAACCTGGCCAAATAAATGATTTCTTCCATTCAGAGAATACTAGCATGTAAGCATGGTGTCACTTCCCTACTATATAGTGGGCAAAAAAAAAAAACATTAGGAAAGAGTATCATGTTTGAATTCATAGTATTCATAAAACAGTAGGTAAAAAGTCCCCGGATAACGTATTACTTCCGCCCAGATTCTATCCTATGGCCTATAGGAGAGGATTGGGAGGCCTGTCCCAATACCCCCAATGCACTGCGTCCAGAATCGCATACTGCCTAGTAAGTACATTTGGTTTGAAAATGACTGTGACTGTTAGAAAAAGTATGCGCTATGAATGTGTGTAGTATGATTGAAAATCGGATGTACTACATTCACCATGTTATCACTGTCATGTGACCTATGACGTCAGTTGCAGAACTTCACTGTCATTCTCCAATCCTGTCCCATGGCCTCATGGGATAGAAAAGTCCACTGGATGCAAACTTCAGAATCTCGCTGGAAGTAATAAGTCATCTGGGTACTTTTTGCCTACTGTTTTATGAATACTATAAATTCAGACATACTACTTGGCTCATGTAGATTACTATTTTTCCCTCTACACTCTCAGAAAAAAAGGTACAAAAGCTGTCACTGGGGCAGTACCTTTTCAAAAGGTACACTTTTGTACCTTTTAGGTAATAATATGTACACTTTAGGTACTAATATGTACCTTTAAGGTACCAATACGGACTGTTTAGGTACAAAGGTGTGCCTTTTGAAAAGGCCCAGTGACAGCTTTTGTACCTTTTTTTCTGAGAGTGTATATTAGGATGCAGGGTTGCATGCATTCTTGGCCACTTGAGAGCATGTTCATATGACAGGAAGTAAGTGTGCAAGACTGTGTCAGGTCTAGGGTTGCAAAGGGGTGGAACATTTCCGGTAAATTTCCAGAAACTTTACAAAAATCCCTGGAATATTCCAAAAAATCCTGGAAAGTTTTAAAACTTTCTGGAATGTTTCCTAGTTTCCTAGTCAGGTCTGAAAAATGTCAAAAACATCCAAAAACATCCCACCACTCTTCATGTTCAGGAACTTACATGGCCTGAAATCCCAAGATTTCAAGGAAAACGTTTCAACGTAAGTTAAATTAATTAGATAATACATACTATTTGGTAGTAAAATACAAAATGTTGCACAACTGCTTTTTATCTTTTAATTAGTAGCACCACTATTAAATTCAGTCATCTGTTAAATATGGACTACTAAACAGACGTTTAGAAGTTCATTAAAGTGCAAAGTATTGTACATCAAAATGTGTAAATAAAGTATAGTTTATTTGCATTTTTACAACACTATGTTGTAGATGTGTCCCATCGGGTAATCAAAAGTTCTACACATTTAAAACTTGAGCCAAGTAGCCTACAGGAAACACGTCATGTCATTTGACAAGTGGTCAAAGATTTCAAGTGTGGGCTTTGAGACAGAGTCAATGTGTAGTGAGTCAGGGTCCAAATTCACGTACAGTACACAGTGCACTGATTCACTACCTAGGTAGGGAGCTATAGAGCTGATTGAGACACCCACAGTCTTACGCCGCATGAGCAGTAATCAGCTCTGCCTGCTAAAGGAAGCCATTGTGAATCACCTGTATAAAAAAAAAAAAAAAAAAAAGATCCAAATTGCTCGCCTAATCAAAAGTTCTACACACACTTGAACACTTGAGCCAAGTACAGGAAAAATGTCATTTAAGTTGACAAGTGGTCAAAGACCGCAAGTGTGGGTATTGGGACAGAGCCAATGTGAGTCAGGGAGGCAGCACATTCATATACAGTACACAGTGTACTGATTCACTACCTAGACACACCCACAGTCTTACAGCATGAGAGCTGTAATCAGCTGTTGATAATTAACGCTAACTTGATGTCAGCTCAGCCTGGTGAAGGAAAACATTGTGATTCACCTGTATAGAACAAAAAAATCCCACTTCCAAACTGCTGACAGCACAGCTGCCACAACACCAGGAAGCTTCGCTACTTCATAAAACCCATTAGGGAGGAAGACGGGTGTCTTGTTAACACCCTGGGTTCTCCCTTGTGAAGCCCACTCATTACAACAACTCGCATGACAGAGTGAAAAAAGACACATAATTTTGTTCAATATTTCCAACACGTCATATTTTCTCCATTCCTTGGGCGAGGGACCAGTGCCAGAATGTTTCGAGATACCTTGTGGTATACGTTAGTGGTCGTTTTAAACGCTCTGCATATAAAACTGTTGTTGTTCTCAGCTACCAGTGAAACCTTTTTATAGTTGTGGGGTTCCCTGGATGCTTCCTGCTCCCCTCCAGGTGGGCTCAGGGTTTGGCCCATGATGCTGTGTGGTTTCTATCGGACACACACGTGCACAGCTGCATTTCAACAACACAGATGAGACCGAGTGGAAAATGTGTGCACTGCATGGCATGTTGGCTGAGATTGTAGAAGCCCTGGTAAAAATGAACCTAGTACTTTGGGTGAGAGAATAAGTAAAGGGCAAATAATCTTTCATTCATGATAAAATAAAGAAATTATGTGGGCCTTCATATTTCTGTCTCAAAGCAAGAAATCCTTTCCATGTGTTGTTTTGTGGTCTACTTCTTTCACCAAAAGATGGCAGCAGTGCAAAATGTCTAATTAATGCTTATTAGTTAGAGATAGAGAAATCCACATTTGGATGGATGGATGGATGGGTGGGTAGGTAGCTAAATAAATACATAGGTTTCATTATGTTTTTTGTTTGTTTTTTAAAGTATACTAATTTGCTACCCTCAACATTTGTAAACGTTAAATGTCACATCCAAACAGTTGTGTTGTGTTCAGCCATAAAGTGAGCAATCCACAGAGAGCATCGAGCTGTGTACAGTATCTTCTCCACTGAACAGCTGCTGTGTGCGGTCGGTGCACCTGATCCCGCGCGTCTCACACGGGCGCATTCCTTGGCCAATAGCAGCGCGCCTCTCTGCACAGGCCCCGCCCACACGCGCTCATTGAACTTTCATTATTTACATCAAGCGCCTTGACATCCACTTTTACTTTCAGGCTCTTCGGGAAACGGTTCAACACAGCACTTTGTGTTCGTCATGATGCGCGACGCGCTCACCGGTTTGTGCATTGGGATTATACTGTTATTAAACAGCGGGTTTGTGGTTATGAGGAGGCAGGACTCGTCTGCAGCTCTCGGCAGTATTTTCCGTACGAGGTGCGCCGCCAGGTGCCTGAGCCTTCACAGCACGCGCATCGCTCTCTCTCCAAGACATTTCCAGGTAAGGAAGAAAAAAGTTGAAAAGAGCGAATGTCATTGTATACTCAAATGTACCGAGTAAGAAAATCAGTTATAAATGAATAAGTGCCTTACACTGCCATTTATTCAATATGCTTTATTATTAATCAACTTATAGGCTATTGTTTTTTTTCCCACAACAGATACAGATTAATATGAATAATAATTAATAATAATAATAACACTGAAATGTTATTGGCATTAGTGTTATTATTGTTTTTCTACTGCTTTTGACACAACAACGAAACCAACTTTACTAAATGTATTAAAAGCATATTATTATTATTATTATTATTATTATGCAAGGCTGATTTTGGATATAAAATGAAAAAACGGTCTAAATTCATGGTCTCAAAATGGTCAGGAAGAGCTAAGATTGAATGGCTGTAAAATAATTATACAAACAATACATTAAATAAGTTACTATATCTATCTATCTATCCACACACACACACACACACACACACATACATATACATATACAGGGTGAATTAATATGTAAGAAAAAAAATATATTGGTTGATCTAATAATGCTAATAATTAATTTTAATATTTAACTCCAAAATGTTATATCATCTCTAAGACAAAGAAATCTGTGTGTAAATGCACCATCATTCTACACCTCAGATCAACTAAAGCTGCTTTTGTTAGTTAAATGTCAAAAGTTATTTGTGGAGTTATACCTTAACCAGTGAACACAAGCAAACTCACTCACCAGCTCATCCATTTGAATTCCTAACCATTCACCCAGAGGAGTTCTTCTGTCTATAAACAAACAGATGCATAGGATTGGAAAACTGGAGGCACAACTGTACAAATCTCTGCCATCCCCAGTCTCAAAACTGCGGTTGCGGTTTTCATTAGAAGTTTAAAGTTACTTGCTTCTCTGTTTATGTTGGTTATGACAGACTTTTTTTTTGGGTGGGAGTGCAGGGAGTGCAGTGGGTTTGGGTGGGAGTGCAGAAGAGGAGTGTGTTTTAGAGACTTCCTGTGTGTATGTGTGTGTGTGCATGCCTTATATGTTTATGTGTGTTTGTATCTGCACATAGGCATGTGGAGGGGGATCTTTGTGCGTGTCTCTGCACTTTTTGTCTGCTGTCAACAAACTCCCTTGTTACTGTGATTATATTCATCCTCATGTCCTTCCTGATCTTTATCATGAGCACTGACATCCGACCCAGAAATAGACTAGCTAGATAGACACATCAATTTAGAATTATTTTGCAAACCTTTAATATGAATAATGGAGGAATTCTGTAACATTGCAGCCATTTTCTTCAATGTTTACTATTAAGTGAGTGAGTGAGTGTCAAACATTATTCATGAAACAATAATAAAGGAAATAGTCCTGTTGATACTGAATAATGGCTGTATTAATCGACAATAATAACTCCAAGGTGTATTTGACATACTAAACCTTTAAACATGGACTAAACCAGTGTCTGTAATTAGACCTTTAAAAGACATCCAAAAGACCTCAATAAAAATCCTCCAGATCTATATATCCATTCAAATGAAATCATCTCCTATCCTCTGTCTACTCATCACAGTTACGGTCTTGTTGTTATCTAGGCTAGACATCATCGCAGAGGGAAGATATGCACATCAGTCTCTCTTATCAAATGCTTTATTCTATAGCAAGTTGTCCATCTGGAGATGCTATCAAATTAGACACTGGTCTAGAAGCTCCTCATTGTCTTCACTGATTCCACAATGTGTTCAAAGCGTTCCAGAGCTCTCTGACTCAAACAGCAGCTAGGGTTCCTGAACAGCTGCCTTCATTCTGCTGTCCGAGCAGGGACTAAACCAGAATGAATGCTTTTCATATCTGCTGATCATTGTCTTCGTGTCCACATCCCTAAAGCCCACTTACGCTGTCTCCCGAGGGGGAAGCCATTTTGGCAATTATCCCCCTTCCTCTAGTATCAAATGGAGACCGGGGTCATGGGTTAATTTGAATGGGTTGAGCTGAATGTCAAGTTATGCTGTAACATCGAGCTATGAGGAGTTATCACTGATGATTAATGATTATGGGAAATTAGAGAGTATTTGATGTGGTTTGGAGAACGTCTGATCTGTCAGAGTTATGCAGACAGTTACGTGGACATACACAAATCTTTCATCTGTCTCAATATCCTGTTTGACTGCCATTGTTTTGTTATTTGATCTTGTTAACTCAATCTTAATCCCAGGAACAAATAGTTAGTCTTAGAAGTATAGTTTTAGTACTTTATGATATAGAAGTGTAGTACAGAATTATAAAAATAAAGAAATTGGGTCAATGGCGTGACATTCATTTTTTCTGTTCCATTAATTTTTTCAAAAATACAATAAAAATGCGATTTGTGCTTACAGTGACTTGAATACGCATTTAAGGATGATCATGTCTTTAATTCTTTGTATTAAAATTATTATTTTTTTTTTAGGGAAGCATATAGTCGAAAATGTCAGGGTGATACAACTGTCCTGATAAAGAAGAAAAATTCTCATTAAGGACATTTTTAAGAAGAAAACCCTATAACCTGCCAAATCAGAATCATACGGAGTGACCAACAAAGTATTGTGGCCCAACCAACATGAAGAAAATGAAGACAAAATTAAATGATATCATAGAGAGGACCCTCATAACTGTGTTAAGGTCAATATGTCTCTTAAAATATCAGATAATTTGATGTTTTTATTATGGTTAGTTCAGGTTGTCATGTGGTGTGACTTCTCAAAAATGTAATGATATTTATGAATGGATAATTCCATAACATATATTGTTACATTTTTATTTGATGGTTACACCACATGATATTGAATGTAAACTTTTCTTGAAAATGTTACAAATAGAAAAAAAAAAAAAAAAATGCAAATCTCTAAGAGACCAATTTTTATTATCATGTATGCTCTTATACATCATTGACCCAATAACAGTTATAATATGATAATATGTTTGTGCAGTTCCGATGTGAGCACATGCATAACGTGCATGTGAACAAACCATGTTTATGCTGACGACTTAGTCCATTGATCCCATCGCAGGCCAAAATGGATTTGTATAGCTCTATTCCCCACAGTGGTGGAGTTGGAAGATCTGGCAGTGATAATATTGTGGTTACTTTAGAGTCCCCACCATGTGCAATAAAATATACAGTGCATTATAAAGGTTTTATCCTTTCTTGTTATTGTGCTATTCAATACCCATTATTCGGAACCCAACGAGACTGGCCAGGGGCGTTATCCTGCACTCTGCCAATCAAATGTGCTGCATATAAGCCAGTGTTATTCAGATAAGCAAAACGCTTTGACAATTCCTGACACGCTACGGAACATTCCGAGATCTGCTATGCAAACAAATTTGTAATTCCAAGTGCTGATGAGTGATTTCTGATGTTTCTGTGCTCGGGTGCCCTGGCCAGTCTTCTTAATAAGGGAGGGGATCTGTTCTGGTTTATGAGCAATTTTACTTTGCCGTAGTCAGGGCGGTGTTTTAAAAAAAGAGTAATGCGTTCATAATAGTAAATTTCCTTCTTATAAAGCCTCTCTGCTCAGCAGGGGCACATTAAAATAATGCGATTCAAATGAGGCTGTCTGATGTGACTGGTGATTACAGCATTCTGACACGCAATTCCATCTGTCTCTTCTGTCCGCAGAGTAATGGATCCCTTGGATGGTGTCAGAGCCATAAACAGTGTGCAAAGGTAATTTCTGTCAAAATTACACAGCATTTCACAGCAGCTTGACATAAAAGCCAACACAGATCTGTCACTGTAAAACATTGGTATGCCTGCGCACCTCCTGTAATAACATCATACATCATCGTAAAAGCTACTGTATTTGTCAGCTATCGCCTTGGACTATTATATCTGTGCTAGCTGGTTGTCGTACAGAAATGAGATTATGATTCACTAGCAAAGCTAGAGGTCACATCTGTAATGAGACTGATACAAATGGAGTTGAAAGGCTATGTGTTTTGATTCGCATTATATTATACAGCCGGTGTTATTTTTCTTTTTCACTTCAAGGCAAAATGCTAATTTCAGTAAAGAACTCAACCCACTTTTCTTAATGAGGACATTAACATGCTCTAGCGGCCTAGTCATTAAATAACAATAATATGCCGGTAGCACAGGGGAAATAGAGCTGACATGTTGCCAATGCAGATTTTCCACACATTTCACTGTGGTATTATGTAAAGCTCCCTTTGATGTATTGTTCAAGATGAGGGCCGCTTTCCTTTCAATACTCTGTGCTTGCATTCCTTTACATGTCAACCAGCTATTGCAGTGTGCACAATGCCGCCCAGAAAACCTTCTTGAATGTACATCTGGACGTTTTAAAATGTTTCGAAACAGTTCATGATTGTGCATGTTACGGTTAAGTGCCTAAGCAGACTTTTCATGGCTTGAGGGGTGGCTTTAAGGATTTGAGATCTTTAATGCATTGATGTATGTGTGCATATGGTTGGTCAGAGTGCAGCACGTGTATTCATAGTTCTGACCTCTCTTCTACGATCCATGAAAACATTTGGCCAACTGGTTCATGGATTTTTACTGCATTCTCCAGAGAGTTTCCTCCATTGGATTCAAACGAGGACGATGCCTTTTAAAATCTTTCTGCTCATTATACAGGATCCACATTCAGTTAGAAGCCCAAATGCTTCACGACAATGTGCTTTTAAAACCCTGAGTGTCTCTAATAATGCGATTAGTTTTGTCATTCTGAGTAGAGATGCAGATTCAAGATTCTTTGATGAATATAAAGTTCAACTGAATGTGTTATTGCTGAATAAAAGTGTAATAATAATAATTATTATTATTATTATTTAAAATATTACTGCAAAATTTTGAATAGTAGTGCATCACTGTTTCCACAAAAATATGAAACAGCACATCTGTTTTCAACATCGATAATAATATGAAATGTTTCTTGAGCAGCAAATCAGCATATTAGAATGATTTCTGAAGGATCACGTGACACTGAAGACTGAAAATTCAGCTTTGCATCGCAGGAATAAATTACATTTTAAAATATATTCACATAGAAAACAGTTATTTTAAATTGTAATAATATTTCACAATATTACTTAAATGAATGCAGCCTTGGTGAGTGTAAAAAAGTACAATGAAATGTGTGCCGTGTATAATCTCCCATTAAACTATCCCCCATGGGATTCATGGGTTTAATAAAACTGAACTTTTTTATTAGTCTCAGTGCAGGATAAGACTGAGTTTCTTGCATAACATTGTGGTTTGCTCTGGAATTACAGACATTATTCACTTCCATTGGCTTTTATGCCACATTCAGGTGAATAGGCCTCTAAAAGTGTTAAAATCTCACAACAAAGTGTGCACGTCTGATTAAAGAACTGTATCATATCACTGCATGCAGGCACAAAGCGGACTGCAGCTTTTGTTTTCCTGACCTTGTTTACCGCTTCATTCCAGAACTAGGATTTGCATTCAGCATGTGCACATAAGCATTGATACTCCTAATAGAGTGTTTACAAACTAGACTTGTGCTTCAAAATTCAAAAGTCTTAGATGTTCCTGCTTAGTTAGTTCCAAAATGGCCAGTTAACGTGCTTCTTGTTTAGGCTTCTTGCCTAGAATTGACAGTTAACCTAGTGGTCTCCTCTCATCAGCTTTTGAATTATAATAACTATACTCAGACAGCACTTGGCCAGCTCTCCACTGAAGTACTCTTCAAAGCGATTAGCATGCTATAACTACATACAGCAATTCCTCCATTTCAAACGACAAATTTTAAAGTATACAGACGGCCCTCAAATCGAAGATCTGCTCTTAAAAGTTATTATGCCTCCGCAGCAAGTGGCCTTTATGCATTTGATATTCAAATGCCACTGAAATAATTAGTGTGCCTTGACAATTCTCTTACCCTTCAGTTTAATCGCTGGTTCAAGTATTAATGCAATTGCAAAACTGAGAGTGCAAACAATTTTCATGACATGGGCGAGATTTCAATTACAGTTTCTCTACATAATTTGCTGAGGCTGGCAAAGTGAGTGTGGAAGGCCTGGAACCTTCTTTTGTAACTGCAATTTGTCCGAACGTTTGCCACAGACATGGGTGGAATTCTCGCATTTCCTCCTAGCATTAAACACCCAAAGCATGCATAGACCAAACTCACTTATGGAGGGTGCCATGTCGGATTTGACCATTTTATTCAAAAGAGACCAGTCTTATTTTTCACGTAATGCTAAAAAGTACAAAACGTGTCTTGGTTTGTTCAAGGGCAATGCATCTTGGCTGAACTGGAACTCACCCAAGGCTTCTTCTCAGCTCAATCTCCATGTCCGCAGCTCTGAAATAACCTTTATTTTGTACGGTAGAAGGGAATGCTTGATTTGAGACTAAAATGAGGCAGAAAACTAACTGGCGCTGGGGTACAATAAAGACACTAGGAGCAAACGCTTTCATGGAGATTACAGGTGCCTCGCGGACAAAAGCAGGGTGGGTTTGGCACAAGCCAAAAGGTGGCTTTAGAAAGGTGAAAGCAATTTAAACCCAGCATTGCAGGATTTAAATACTTTAAGTGATTTATAGCTTAGATCTATGCTGTGCTTTTTCCACCAACATGCAATGCATCATAAAGGGCCGCTACACAAAGGGAATGAGCCATTGAGTGCTGCATTTGAGAAACTGATAAATGAGACCAGGGTTGTGAATGTGGCTTTCCTCAGAACAAGCTATTGTTTACAATGGTTTAGGTTTAAGGGTGAGGGTGAATGAGAATGTAGTTTATAAAGAGGCCAATGCATCTACTTGTCATATGAGGTATGCATTATATCTGATCAGTTATAAAGTGTGGATAGGAGGTAATTTTCCTGCAGTGAAATCAGTATTGCACAAAAACACATTACCTGCAGAGTATTGAGCCGGGAAACATAGATGTTTATCAAATACTGCATTAATCACATATGATGCTGCAGAATTAAATGGGTCCTATTATGCTCTTTTACAAAGTCTTGATTTAGTTTTGGGGGTGTACTAGAACATGCTCTCATGCTTTTTCACATAATTTACATTATTAAAATACCTTTCTCCCCAGCCTGGCACAAACAGCTTGATTAGTTCTGGGTTTGATGAAGGCCTGCCTTACGAAAAACAAAATGTGTTGTGATTGGTTAGCTGTCCCAGTGCGTTGTGATTGGCGAACATCTTAGACGGTGTCTCAGTACTGCCACGGATGGCGTCAATATTGCCATATCAATTTGAGCCGGATTCAGACCCCGAGAATATTGAACAAGAGGATCGCGCAGAACCTTTGCATGCACAGATATTGCAAGATTATTAGAGTGATGTTATTGTTGTTGTTTTTTTTTTTTTGGCTAAATCATGTTTTAGACAGGATGTCAACAACCGCTTAAAAATAAGTACATTTACTATGTACAGATAAGTGCAACGGTAATATGTATTATGTTTATTGTTCTTTAATTCTACATCATTGTTCAGTATTGTACTGTCAGCAATTTATGAAAACAAAACTGTTTCTTCGACATGGCAAAAACTTGACGCTACATCAGCTCTTCTTCTTCATTTTCTCTGATGCACTAACTCTGCAGCAGCACTTCTTCTTCGTCGTCTTGTCTGATGCACTCAACCAAGCGTTCTAACCACGACCTCACCCCTCCCCACCCCTCAACCATTTGAATTTCCGTAGGCGGGAATTATTTTAATGATATTCTAATGGGCCACTTTGTGACATCACAATACCCCGGAAAACAACACTGTAGTCCAAACGAGCCGTTCATTGTAGTTCTTGAAAATAGATTTTTAAAAAACGAAATATCTCCCTTTGGAGTGGACTTTGAGATTTGTAACTTTGTAGATCTTTTTTATGCCCAAACATACACACTACACACTGACTAAAATTCTAAAAGTGAAAAAAAACATAACAGGACCCCTTTAATGTAATGAATAAAACTCCACAGTTTTTATGGGCATTACTGCTTTTAAAACTAAAAATTCTGATAGAAGTATAGTAAATTTAAAAATCATGTTAATAATTTATGTGTGGATCAAATAACAAATGCTAAATAATAATAATAATAATAATAATAATACATGAAATTTTATTGCCTTGACTAATTTTGCCTTTGTCACAATGTCATTCCGTTTGGACTTTGTTTTCCTCTTGCACCGTTCTCCTTCATTGTGTTAATTGTGTCATTCTGTTCAGGTGTGTGTAGTCAGTTATCCTTGTTTGGTCTGTGTATTTAAGTTCCGGTCTTGTCTACATCTGCATTTATGCTACCCTGTATGTTGGTTTACCAGTGTGTTGTATTAAAGACTTTATAAACCTTCTTCTTCGTGTTTGTGCTTTTGATACAGTGTAGCTGTGACAGAAGACCGGACCCAAAAAGAAAGAAAGTAGCAGCGTGCCTGTATCTTGTTTTATTTTTTCGGTTTGTCTGTGTTTTTTGTTTGTTTTTGTCAATGGATCACTTTGCCGCTGTCCACCTGCTCTGCCCTGATGAGCAGGGGAACCGCTTCCTTGAGGAGCATGTTGAGGAACTCCTCGGTCTCGCCAATCAGACCACCTTACCAGACGACTGCCTGTGCACATTCCTGCATGACGGACTGAACACCGCCACATGAGCGCAGTTGTCCGGGGCGGGTCCTCGAGGGAGCTTCGCTGCTTATGTAGAGTAGGTGATGAGCTCCTGCGAATCTGCTTT